CTCTCACTCTTACTTATTCACTCACTCACTCATTCACTCACTCACTCACTCAAAGTTTAGATATTAATCAACATATAAAATAAAAAAAACAGCATAATAACGGTTTAGTTTGAAACGAAGGTCGTGGTTTGTGGTAAACGATAATTAAGGATAAAATAAATTATGATAAAATAAGAGTATAATAATTTTACTAGCTATGTATATATAATTTTACTAGCTATGCTTAAGTTTTAACACATATGCAATATATAATGTATACATACATTTAACTAGATAATAGTAGGTAATAGGTAAATGTATATGTGCACGATCTTTCGATAAGCAGAAAAAAATCTGTGATCTTTTCTCGTGTTCTCCTCAATAGGTTGCCAATGAATAGGACGTATTGGCAGACGCACACCGTGAATTCACAATTTCCGTGGAACACAATGCGCAGAATGTTGACTTTCCCATAAACCGCTTTTTCATGTCTCGCGGCTGCCAATAACTGACCAAATATCATTATCTTTGTCGTGCTATTTTCTTTTCCTTAAACTCGATCAATACTTGACAACTAGCTAATGCTAGTGCTTTGCGCATTAATAAAAATTTGCAAAAATAAATACATAATTTTTTCTTTCGAGAACGAAGAGAGAATATATATTTTTCATTTTTTCAATTTTTTTTCGTAATTGTTTTTAAATTTTTACGAGTATAAATAAAATAAAGAATAATTGCGAGATATCTATATTTCATCTTTGTTAAAGGGAGAATAAAAAAAAAAAAAAAAGGGGAAAAAAAAAAAAAAAAAGGGGAAAAAAAAAAAAAAAAAGGGGAAAAAAAAAAAAAAAAAGGGGAAAAAAAAAAAAAAAAAGGGGAAAAAAAAAAAAAAAAAGGGGAAAAAAAAAAAAAAAAAGGGGAAAAAAAAAAAAAAAAAGGGGAAAAAAAAAAAAAAAAAGGGGAAAAAAAAAAAAAAAAAGGGGAAAAAAAAAAAAAAAAAGGGGAAAAAAAAAAAAAAAAAGGGGAAAAAAAAAAAAAAAAAGGGGAAAAAAAAAAAAAAAAAGGGGAAAAAAAAAAAAAAAAATAATTGCGAGATATCTATATTTCATCTTTGTTAAAGGGAGAATAAAAAAAAAAAAAAAAAAGAAAATGAAAAATAAACTGAGAAAGATAAAATAAATTGAATTTAAATAAGTAATTGTGATTTTTAAAAATACAACAATTTCATCTTTATGATTTTGTAATCTTAGAAACATTATATTTGCTTTTTTTTTTTTTTATCGTCATTGTACAGAATTATAATAAATTATATTTGAAATATAGGTCACGCTTAAATCGGTCGAGATGGAATACATTTAGCTTTTCGCACATTATATTTTTCCATTATTTTCAATTATTGTCTTCTATTTAAATTAAATGGATCATAAATACGATATTTCATCTATCCGATAAATATTTTCAATCAAGCATCATGTTTTATCAAAATTTGATACATTAAATATCGTCGTTATGATATTTTAAAATTTTGAAATAAATATTTTACCGCAATTGTATTATTATTAATTTTTTATTCCACACATGTCTACGGTCAACTATTCAATTTTCAATGAATTGAAATTTTCATGATTATTCAATGGATTTAAAATTTCCATAATATAAATTACAATTGATGCTTTATTACTTATTATAAATAAATGCTTTATTATTTATTATAAATAAATGTTTAATATCAAATCATAAATTAAATTTAATTTTCTTAAAAGTTAAATTCGAAACAAAAATTCTTTTGCTCGAAATATTCCATTTTTTTCTTTATTTTGTTATTAAAAAAAAAAACACTAAATGTGCGTAATTTTTATTCTGTATTTAACTCGTTTAAGATATTTCAGTTTCTCGAACATTTTTAAGATTATTTATCGAAACGTGTGTGTCTCTTTCATGGTTATTAATCATCGTTTGCATTCTTCAATCGTAAAGCGAAATACTTATTTATTTCATTGTTTTTCATTTCTAATTCTGGAAACGTGTTAAGATTAGGTTAGGTTAAGGTTAGTAGGTGTTAAGATTAATTCGCTTATCTGATATATTTTTATTGCATTCACTTTCCATCCTTGTTTCTATTTTAATTTGATTTTTTTAATTAATTTCCCGCATTGATACATCCATCGCATCTTCGATTCATTAATTATCATAAATTTGTCTTTTAACAAATTTTAATTTTTTCTTAATTATCGAAATTATAATATCAAATGTGAGATACCGTGATTTGTTTCCCTTCTAATTCGTTGTTCTCTCTTTCTCTTTCTCTCTCTTTGTTTCTTTTTTGAATATCAACATATAATCTTTATATATCTCTTATGTCTCGTTTCATTTGATAACGATAGATGAAACACGAAGAATTTGTTGATTCGTATTTCATTGACTTTTCTTATATATTATATTATGTTATTATGAATAACGTGATAAATGCAATGAATATAACGTAATTTTATTTATCGGTACGCTATTTTTCAAAGATGGGTAGATTACGTGTTCGAATATCACGAGAAAGAAAATAGAACAATCTTATCCTTAGTTCGTAGTACGTGATATTTTATGATTTATACAGATGAAAAAACTTAATCATTGTAAAGTAAAAAGAACAATGCAAAAATGCAAAAATTAAGAGAATGAAAAAGAAATATGAAACAAATTTGAATAATTTTTTATTGGGTGAAATATACTTGAAAAGAAATATTTATATATGTGTAGCGTAGTGTTTTTTTGCTCAAAAAACTTTCTTTTAGAAAATGATTTGGAAGCGAAACAATGTGATAAATTAAATTTTTATCTTTCCTTTTTCTTTAAAAAGAAAGGAAAAGAAGAATTACTATATACTATATGCTTCAAATAGAAGAAATAACAATTTTCGAAAAATTTTTTTGGACATTTTACATCTTCCCGCGATATATTATACATATATATATAGGAAATAATTGAATATAATAAGAAAGAATCTTCTAAGGTACAATGAAATTTTCGTATCGAAAATTTCGTAGCAAATAAATGACCAACATTGAAAGAAAAATTTATTAAGAGATAAAATTCAACGAGAAATTAGCCTTGAAAAGAATACTCACGAGATGACTCGATTAACGGAGAAATTATCTTCGAAATTCTTGGAATAAGTTATTCGAAAGCATTTCTTCAAACATGGAAGAATAATAATAATCCAAAGATTCCATTCCAGATTCCGCCGATATCAATCGCAAATATATTTGTTAAACGTTTGTCCAATTGGCACGCAGCCATTTCAACATTTCTCTGATTAATTATAAAATTTATTTTATCGTCTTCTAACAAGTCATTTCGTCACGTTTCCTCAAATTTCTTAATCGCATAAAAATCATCTTACTTTCACATGTATACGTATACGACGTTTTCGTTTTGTATCGAAAATGAATTTTCATGCAAAATGGCATTGAAAATAATTTATTTATTTTTATTTTTTATTTTTTTATTTTTTAGTATAATTTTATTACCGTACCATTTATTTTGAAAAAATTAAAAATTTGCCAATATTTATGATATTTATATTATATTTTCCTTATATCCCATTGTTATCCCAATATTTATTTCAAGTCAAACGTACGATTTAAAAATCACAATGAAGAAAATTACTAACTAAATATTAAACATTTGTATCCGTAAATTATGCACGATGATTTAAACGTGGATTCATTCGTAAAAAGATATTAAGTACTTACGTATTAACATATAAACATATAAATTTAATAAATATCTTTGATGGGATAATATGGATC